CAGATTCTCATTTTCTACAGTAAATCGATTCTCATTTTCAACCACACAATCTTCAATAAAATAATATTTTCCATCACATCAATAATTTTTTCTTCTTTTTCAACCACACATTTCCCATCATACCACTATTCAAAAATCAATTCTTCCCCCAAAAATCCCTACCAAACACACTCTTAGACAAGTCATATTACATATATACTCTATAATAGTTTATTTTATTTAAATTGTAATTCTTAATTTGAATATTGTTATAATAATATTAAATATACTCATTAATAAACTGTACATATTCAACTTCAGTAATTGATTTGCACGTTATAATTGTTCATAGCATAAAATATTTTTTTGGTACGTATTTAATTGATATATTTATTTATCATTGCTCCGAAAAAGCATGACGTTACACTATTATGAAAGAGTATTATCTGTTCCTGAGAGCATGTCATTACAATTTCAATACTTTAGAAGAATATTGACATATTATTCTTAAAAGCAATAATGAAAATATAATGTGCTTTCGATAACTCATGTCTCGAAGAATGGATCGTATATATAGTTTATGAATTAGTGTTTAGACTAGAAGAAATATATATCACTCATGTAACATAGACATTGCTTATTTTGACTGTTTGATTGATTATCATATGATTATAAAATGTCTAATCATATTATTCAAAAAATAATTTTTATTTTCTTTGTTTCATTCATGTTATATTTGCATGGATTTCATTATTTGAATAAAGTAAGACTTTAAATTATGGTATTATTTTCTCTCGAAGAGCATAATTTTGTAAGATCTTGTATTTCAAAAATATCATGTTATTTAATACATATATCAAATTCTTCCACTTTCCTCCCAGAATGGCTGCCTATGTTTTCTCCCAGCTGACTGCCTTTATTTTTGTGTGTGTGTATATATATATATATATGTTAATTCAGCCCAATTCTCCACGTAACAGCCTGCTGTGTGTTGAATGTATCTATATTAAATCCAAGTGGAAATTACAACTTCCCCTACTTTTGGAGATCCAAATT